AAAATCTCACATCCATTCTTCCTTTGTTTTGTAAGAGTGCCCCAATTTGCTTCACAGAATTGATTCTTCTCCTTATCTTGATGGACTAGCCACCAAGAGCCCTTGGTCTCCCAAGGCTAAGCAGTGGATACCTGTCCAAACTAGGCCAATTGGACTCTCTCTCCTGAGACTGATTCTTGAGTGGGAAAATGCAAAATCAGAAAACAAAACAAAACAAAACCCAGTTGAATTGACTTTTTTCTGGCTATGGAGCCTTAAAGACATTGTCTATTAATTCTTGCTACATAGACCCTAAAGCAACGGTGGCACAGTAAGGACTGTGCTGTATTCATCAAAACATTCTTACTTTTTCGTGGGAAAATACAAAATAACAGCAGAAGTGACCCATCTCACTGTCAGACCTGCCCCTAAAAGTCCCATATGCCTTTCTCTCTTTCTGAGCAGCTGGGAGCAAATGTCTTCAGTACAGCTGAACCACATAATGGGGAAGGTTAGACCCTACTCTACCACCTGGAAGGAAGCCTTCTAACCCCCATCTGACTAGGACAAGAGGAAGTAACAGACTTCTGCTGTAGTAAGTCACTGAGACTTGGGGGGTGTTTTTACAGAACTAACAAGTGTTACCCTACCATACTATCCTTTTCAGAGACTGATTTTTCCAGCCTTCCTTTCAATTATGATACCTTTTCAACAAATTATTTTCCTGCTGAAGTTAGCCAGAGTCCACTTTGGTTGCTTTCAACCACAGTCCTTATGGATCCATTACCAGTAATAATTTAAACAGCCAATAAAGTATTATGATCAGATTAAACCATGTTATTTCACTTGAGACTACATATTTATTGTATTGATCCTTTATAAGTCAACAAATACATACTTAGCACTAACATTTAGGAGGCATAAAATATTAATTACAGATTCTGCCCATTTATCATTTAAAAAACATTCACACCAGCCTCTTTACACTAGACACTCTGCTAGGCATTATAGATATAAAGACAAATGAGCATTGGTCCTTTACTCTGAAAAGCACATGGTCCAGTGCTACTGAGAAGCTTGTAATGTGGCAGGAAACATCAAGACAAGTGCATATGCAGTGCCAGTGTTACCAGTCACATGAAGTAAAACTAGAATATAAGACTGATAAGTTCTGTCCTTGGCCCTTTCTACTTTATATAATCTTCCTAGGTGACTCATCTATTCTTCTATGGTTCTATCACTCAGTATTCTCAAATCTAGTATATCTAATCCTGTCTTCTCCACTGAGTTCCACACCTGCATTTCCAGTTGTCAGCAATACATCCCTACCCGGGTGTCCCACAGGCCTCTCATATTCAACATATCAAGAACCACAGTCATTCTCCTGCCTCTCTAACCTGCTTTCCAACCTGTATCCTCTCTTAGTTGATGGAACAGTTGGCTACCCAGCTAGCTAGAAATCATGGTGTCCTTTTGACTCATCCCACTCTCTCATTTCCTTTTATACATAGTCACCAACATCCATCATTTCCATCTCAGAAATGTTTCTGTGTTGTCACTTCTCAATCCACTGCTCTGGTTCAGAATCTCATACCCATCCTGCTACAGCAGCCCCATTGCCCATCCCTCTGTTCTAGCATTCCTTTTGCACTGTCTACCCTGCTGCTAATTATTGTTTTGACCCTGAGATCTCACTTCAATTATCTGTTAATATTTCTTTACTGACTCCCAAAAGTCTTCAGGATAAAGTCCAAACTTCTTAATCTGACATATAAGACACTTCACAATCTTGTTCTCTCATTTTTTCCATCTTCACCTTTGTATGATGGGAAAAATAAATTCTTAACTTTGCCTCTAACTTATCTCTTTAACTTGCTTTTCCTTAGTAATTGGTCATCTGAAATTCCAACCAGGTTTTTACTCTCCACTTCGTGATCATCTCCAAGAGGAGCTACTCTCAACTCTCCACCACCATCAATAGTTTCCTCTCATTCTTGTAGGATTTTTTCCTTTTAACCCTGACCCCCTGCAAAAGACCACAGTCTATTTCTCTGGCTTCCTTGTGAATGAGACTCACCCTGTACATTCTTGTAACCAACCTATAACCCCTGCTATCCCTGTCATGAGGACGGAAGTCCTGGGAGGTCTTTTTCTCATCTATCAAGGTAGTCACATCTTTCATGTTCATCTACTTTTCAATCCAAAAATTTTTAAATTGTAATGAAGCTCAAAAGTAACCTAAGCCCCCTTTCCTATACATAAATATCTCATTTATTACAACTTTTAAGAAATTTCCAACCCTCCTGGGACAAAAAAAAAAAAATCACTACTCCTGAGAATGCCTACTCCATCTTTAGATGTTTCCCATTGCTAACAGTTATTTCTTCACACTGAGATGGATTCCTCTACTCCTGGTTCTAGTTCTACCAAGCCACACAAACAGAGTAAGTCCAGTCCCTCTTCTGCACAATTTCACTAGAGATACCTCCCATGCTCGCTTTCTCAAGTCCTCCTTCACTAGATCAAGCCTTTCTAGCTCCTCCAACCATTCCTCATGTAAAATTCAATGACTAAACCAGTGGCTCATGAAGGTTGTAATTAGCAAACTGTGGATGCAGTTATATGGCCCCTGAGGTCTTCATCTTTTTGAGGTTTACCTCAGACATCAGGTTGCTCTCTTGGTCTCATATAAAAGGAACACCTAACTATTAGGCCTGCATGATATAGCAACCAAATAATTAGAATTTTTTAAAATGTGACAATATTTTGAAAAATTCTCTAAAGAGTATATAAAGATCAGAATTTTGCACCTGGAAAGTAAATATAGTACTTCCTGTGTCCAGAAAATTCTCATAGATTTCAAACTACTTCTCTAAATCAATCTAACACATCTAGTGTTGCCCTGAAAAATTTACACAGCAAATATATCATACTCTGAACATTTCTCATTAATGTGGAACACAGTGGAATGTTGTGTTTCTCCTCCCCAAGAACTCTAGTATGTATCCGTTTTTCTCACAGATAGGCTTCTTCTACCTGTGATGAAGAGTAGATTTGCAGCCTCCCCAGTCCTGCTTTACCATTCTTTTTGGAGTGACACTGATTTCTTCTTTTCATCTTTTCTCCCATCATTGGTGACCATTTTCATCTGAGCCTTTCTCTCACCCACCTCTCTTTGTCCCAAGGACAGCATCTTCCCCCAAATGACTGTACGTTTTATCCAAGGGAATACCCTTCCTATACTTCAGCACAACCTCATATGACAAGGCTTTTACTCTATTCATTTCCCCACATTTGTAGAATTGGGAACAAATTATTTAAAGTGGTTTTTACCTGGCCTCCTTTTCCTGCACAGGCAATTACTTCTCTGCAAATGGCTGCACTGGCCAAATAATTGTGTCCACAATTAGCTAATTGCAGGCTCAATGAGCCACTTGTTCCTTCAGACTTGGCCATTACCGTTGTGTGATTGGGCAGAAATTTATCTCTTTACTCCCTTCTGATTTACAGAGTCATAGCAGATCCCAAATCTGATTTCCCTGTATTCTTTCACAATGTCAGTATAAGTCTTTTCACTTTTTTACTTCCTTTTCTATGTGTGTCATACTCTCCACATTCTTTTACAAATCACAACAGCCATGCTTTGTATATTAGACCCAAGGAATATGTATTTGAATTAAGTCAACACTCGAGTAAGGGTTATTATTAATTAAAAGGTTAATTATGAATAAATAATTACCTGAATCCATTTTATAAACCATAAAAGTAAGGCAGCAGAATAGTTGTACACAGTCATGATAGAGTAAAACCAAAAATCCTAACTAGCAAATCTACTTCTTCCCTGGGCCCTGAGTTTCCCCCAAAGGGTAAAAATTAACCTGCAACCTCATCTGCCTTTAAAAGAAAGCACTATTAAATATTCCTCCAAATTGTTTACCACCTGGCTTCTTGGAAACTACAAAAAAAGATTATTTCATTTAAAAAATGGCCTCAAGTCTTTACCTCTTCTCCTACAATTAAGGGAGTCTCTTTTCTTAATTTCTGTATATTTTATTCTACCTTTCTTGTACAACCAACATGTATAGAACCTAAAATATATGGTCAATTTTTAGTTTCATATAAGGAGGTCATCTCCCACTGACATTCTTCCAATCCACAAAAGAGGACAGGTATAGCCAAAGATAATGAGTTTTCCTTTATGAAGAAATGAATATTAATAAGGATTAGACACATTTGCTTTGAAAATGACTCAACCACTTTTAGGTTTCAAGGCATTTGCCTTCCAATTAAACACTAGCAGACTCTCCAACAGCTCTTTCCATCAGGAACATTTTCTTTTTAAACTCCCAGTCACCCTTTCCCGTGATTGTCTTTTTTTTTTTTAATTTTTTTTTATTTATTTATGATAGTCACAGAGAGAGAGAGAGAGAGAGGCAGAGACACAGGCAGAGGGAGAAGCAGGCTCCATGCACCGGGAGCCCGACGTGGGATTCGATCCTGGGTCTCCAGGATTGCGCCCTGGGCCAAAGGCAGGTGCCAAACTGCTGCGCCACCCAGGGATCCCTCCCGTGATTGTCTTAATCGTAGGTAACTGAGTGGAAAAAAATTCCTGATGTCTTGGGAGATCCCTACTCACCAATGAGTTCTTATCTCTCAGCTGTCTCTACTCTGCTTCAAAGACCTCTGGCATTTTTGTCAACACTTAGCACACCAAAAGATAAGTAGAGCATAAGAGCAGAAAGAAATCAGGCTTAAAGGTATACAAGTGAAAAGGAGGGGGAAAAAAAAACCCTGAGAAGGCAGAAGAAACATTCAGGACAATGCCATAAAGGGGGCCACAGCCTCCAAGAAACAGGATACAAGAAATATGGCCACTGCTTGTAAAGAGCATATTCTAAAACCAGTTAGTACACAAGAAATAAAGTCCATGTATGTAAGCTGCTGGAACATTCAGGGAGATGTGAGGACAGGGAACAGTGCAAGCGGTCTAAGATACAAATGTGCTGATGGCTCTCACTTACCCAACACCAGCAGTTCCGCCAAGTCCTCATTTTTGCCCTCCAGGTCATCGGGGGTAGTGATAATACAGTAATAGAGTCCGCTGTCTCCCCACATGAGTTTTCCAATTTGAAGATCTGCATCTGTTATCACAAAAAGAAGTGCCCAGTCCTAAAACTGGCCCCTGAAAGGAAAACACTGAAAAATGGAGGGTGAGAGGGGACCCTTCTGGAAGGAATGTCTGCTGTGTCTTACTTCTCCACCTAAATGGTGGTTGACAAGATGTTTATTTCAAACAAATACACAAATAAAAACCCAACAGCAAACACCAGCATGCCTAAGTGAAAGACTTAGGGTGACCCCAGAAAATGGTCTACTTCCAGTCCAGTTTTAGGAATAGAAGATTGCCTTCAACTAACCAGGTCTGCAGAAGCCCCTGAAAGCCAGATACATTCCAGAATTACTCTGGACTCTTGGAAATGAGCTGGCTTCACAGGCATTCTTCAAAATTCAAATAATCAAACAAGTCAGGTCAGGCTCTTAGGCCCTTTTCTTGCCCAATGGTTTACGGAACAGAAAAAAGGGTAGAACTGATACAGAACCAGCTGGGGCATCTACCTGGCTCTGTAACATCTATGCCTACATCCCTTCTCCCAGCAGAGGAACTTCTAATGGAAGCCTGCTTTCTGAGTTTGGGAAAGGGCCATAGAGGCTGAGGTCAAGGTGTATTTGAGAACATTCTTTGACTAGAGCCTATTCCAGTTCAGTTCACAAGCTCTTCAGACTAGAGGTCAGGTTGGAGAAAGACTATTTTCAGAGCTCATCTCTGTGTCTTGCTAGATATTATACCCTCCACCCTTTATTCCCCTTACTGTCCCATTAAGTAATCTGCTAGGCTTCTTGATGTTTCCATCTCCCATAAAATCAAAATCTTGAGGGGCAGCAAGGCAGAGAGGCTGACATCCCATTGTGTTTGGGACAGGGGAACTAATCTTCCTTCTATTCCTGGGTTCAAAGCAGAGGCATCATTACCATGCACAATCGTGATCTCTCTGCCCCTGTAGAAATCCCCCAGGGTGACAGTTGAGCCCTGTTTTGAAGCTACCACTCGAACAGTCCTCCTGCTGTCTAAACAATCCAAGTAGGGGTCCCATTCCAGGTTTCTTTTGCTGAGAGGCTGGGCTCGGGGAGAGGCCATGCCCAAGGATTCTCCCATGCGATCTTGGCAGTAAGACTTGAACTTCCACTGCACGACTGCAGGCTGATGGGAGGATGTGGAGAAGTGGCAGCGAAGCACAGTAGGCTGAAAGAGCATGGCCACCTTCTTCTTGTCAGGCACCGTGACTTGAAGGCCATCAGCCATGGCTGCAAAACAGAATGAATATGTCCAAACAGCATCCATATTATGGACCTCACTTCACACCCCACAGTCATGCCTTTCCACCTCACCTCCATGACCTGTCTCTCCCTGCTTTCTCCATCACCATTAATGGCATCAATATCCATCTGGTTGTGTTGTCCAGAAGCCTGTCCTTGCTCCCAATACTCAAACAGTCACTAAGCCGTATCAACTTGATCTCTCTCTTTCTCTCTTTTTAAAGATTTTATTCATTTGAGAGAGAGAGAAAGAACATGAGCATGAGCTGGGGGAGGAGCAGAGGGAAAGGAAGAGGGAGAAGCAGATTTCCTGCAGAGCAGGGAGCTGGACATGGGGCTTGATCCCAGGACCCTGAGATCACAACCTGAGCCAAAGGCAGATGCTTAAATGACTGAGACACCCAAGTGCCCCTCCACTTGATCTCTAAACATCTTTAATATTTCTTCCCTCCTCTTTGACCTCACTATCATTGCTTTGGTGGTGCTCTATTCATTTCTTACTTAGAATTTTACAATAATCTTTCGTCTGGTCTCCCTGCCTGCAGTTGCCCATATGCCATACATTTACTTTGCTATATAATCCAGATGATCTTTCTAAATCTAATTGTCATGGCTCTCCTTCTTTAAACCCTTCCCTCAATCTCTATGGCCCAAAAGTTCCTGAAAAGGCATTGTAGGTGCTCCATCATCTACCCCTTACTTCCTCAGCCTCACTTCTGGTGGCATCTCTACTTGCGCACCAACCTCCAAGAATAACCAAACAAGTAACAGTTTCCCCAGTGGGACATGCTATCTCACACCTCTAGGTCTTTGCACACGATGCTCCTAGCTTCTGTAATGCTTCTTCCTCACTTCTTTCCTTGGGAAACTCTTTCCTGCCTTTCAAAGCCCAGGTTAAACGCTTTCTGTAGGCCTTCTCTGACCCTCAACCCATTAGTCACTTCCTCCTTTGTGCCATCAGAACCCCAGCATCCTCTTCTAGACATTTCTTATAATTGCTTTGCAAGTATTTATTTTCATGCCTGTATTTATTTTCATGCCTGTCACCCCCAACAGACTTGTCAGGTAAGGAACGGGTCTTATCTTGCTGTCCCAGCTTGTGAAGCCCATAAGTACTCAATAAATATTTGATAAATAAAGACAATGAAGCTGGGAAGTATGACTTCAGGAGGAAGTGACTTCCCTTCCAGCTGATAACCAAGTATAGGGGACAGAGATGAAGGGGAAATGAAAGCTTTAAGAGAGATGAAGATTTTCCGATCAAAAGCTGTAGACTAAGTTCAAAAGCTTTGAAGGGTAATCAAAAAAAAGGGAGAAAAAAAAGTGCTAGAGAGTGGATGAGAAGTTTAAGTGGTGAAAAGATCTGACCTGAGACCTGGTGTCCAAGAGGGAAATTTCAGTGAACGGAAGACCAGGGGAGTGTTTGAGAGGCAAATGGTCTCTTAATTCAATAGTGAGATCTAGAAATTCCAAGCAAAGAGAACTTAACTTTCCCAGTTGAAAGAGAGAATCAAGAGTTTTTAACTTGAGCTGATATTAGAAGCAGAAACAGAATGATGATGAGAGGCAGAAAAAAGGAATATGAATAAAAAGATACCATAAAGAGGTTTTGAATTAAATCTAGGAGCCTGCCAAGTCAGTGTCAGGTAGCTTGAGAACAGAAAGCTCCACCCTAGAATTACAATGGACTCAAGACACACAAGGACTAGTTTCCGTGGGGCACCTTCTGTCCTTCATTCCTGCCAGTGTTCAAAATGACACTCTTATGGTTCAAACATACACTTATTTATGAATGTCTCTTATGGAAGCAGCCTTGACAAGGGCAGGATACTACGTTTGTGTTCATGTCTTCTGATTTCCAGACCAGTGTCTCTCTACTATGAAAAACCAGGTTCTAATTCTTCTTGGGAGAAAACAGTTTCTGCATTCTGTGGACTGAGGAAATGAGAGTATTTGAGATTTACCAAATCTTAGTGTTTTGAACCTACCAAATGCCATAGAATAAATGAAGGAAAGCATGCACAAATGAATAATTACTACTATGGGAATCTCCAGCATTTTTAAGAGAAAACCAGTTAAATATGCTGTAGATAGCATGGTATAGTAAAATAGCATTGGAATCAAATAGATAGGACTTTGAATCCTATCTGGCCATCCACTAGCCATGAAGCCTCTTAAGCAGCCCTCACTTACAAAATGAGCCTCATAATCCTTACTCACAGGGTTATTAACAAATAACTCGTAGGGAGGAGACTCTAGAGCAGAGCATTGTGATCATCCCCAGTACTGGTAGATCTCAAACGCTAATCCTCCTTTCCATTTCCTCCTTTTTCTCTACTTCCCATACTGAGGCCCCCTGAATCTCCATGACCATTCACCACCAATAAGTTTGATTACAGCCAGAATATGTAGATCAGCCTCACCAAGGGGCAAATAATTTCCTTCTGGAAGCTCACTGAAGAACCTCAGTTTTAGGCTCCATTGTTTCCTTCCACCACCCTCAAATATTGATGTGGCTAATTCCACTGCTGTCTAACTCACAGAGCTGGATTAGGAAATTTCTTTAGTTTCTCCTTAAATTCTATTGCATTAATTCTTAACCTTGTAATTCTCCTCCAAATCCTTATTCACACTCCAATTCTCCAGGTAACAAAAATGGGACAGAGATGTGAAGGGACTTCAATTAGCAGTGATTGAGGGTGGATTGTTCCCAGTACAACGCTTTGTACTTGACCATGTCACCTTTCTTCTCAGCTATCTATTCAGGCTATACCTGGGAAATCGTATTTCCTAGCCTTTGTAAGATAAATAAAACAGCAAAGGAGGCAAGTGCTAAATAAAAGTGTTGTAGGGTTTTCTGTTTTGTTTCATCAGGGTTTTTTTTTTTTTTTTTGACAGAGAGTTAAGTGTGGGGTTTTGTTCATTAGGTGATTACCAAGAATAACCTCTTTCCAGCTCTGCTGTCTGTTAGATTAGCCACTTGACCAAGCCATTGGACTCCCTTAATTTTTTTTAAAAGAGGGAGGGGAGGGCCCAGCAGGAGAGGAAGAGAGAGAATCTCAAGCAAGCTCCGTACCCAGCACAGAACCTGACATGTGAGGTTGGATCTCACAATCCTGAAATCATGACCTGAGCCAAAATCAAGAGTAGGATGCTTAACCCACTGAGCCACCCAGGCACTCCTGGACTCTCTCTCTCCTTAGTAATAGAGTTTAGTTGGTTCTTAGTTTATGCCATGACACACAATATAAATCCAAGCTCCAAAGAATAAGGAATACAGTGTCAGAAGCATCTGCCTTTTTATAACATGAGAGTTAAAGGCATGGATTTCGGAGTTAGTCCTAAATTAGAATCTGAGCTCTACCACTTCATAGCTGCATGGCCTAAGGCAAATTTCTCAACTCACAAATTTCAGTTTCCTCACTGGTAAAACCAGAATAATTGTAACTACCTTATGGAGCTGACTGAGGGTTAAATGAAAATTTAACCTAAGCACTTAGGATAATATGGTATATAGTAAACACTCAATAAATGTAGCTGTTGCTGCTACTGTCAAAAACAGTAAACAGAAGTCTGTTGACTTCTGTGAAGCTATGAACCTAGAACTAGGTGAGCACAGATATCAAGATGGGAGATGCTGAATGTGTATAGCACAGAATGGGCAAAAACCGCACAGGAATGCTAGAATAGGTAATTAGGAGTACAACAGTAACAGTGCCTGGGTGTGCTCATCACTACCCAAGCATGCATCACCTTCTGGAAATCAGAAAATGGAGGGTAACCATGTGTGTACATGTGCAGAGTATGATGGGAATCCTAGGGCTGTAAGCTAAGGATGAATCTGGACAACTGGAGAGGACAGGACTAGACATTTCAAGGAAATGAAAGTTCATTGGATCTTTAAGGACCATAATAGTGAAGAGTTAGAAAGAAAGCTGAAAATGCCAGCCCCTGCTTTAGCTCTGTAAACTGCAAGATGAATGCCACCCAATTCTTGAGTCTGCCCTGGCCATGCCTATTTGGAACCCCATTCCCATTGAAGGATGCGATCTAGAAGTGCTCGTCTGGCCCTAACTAAATCCAAGCCAAGATGAAGGCTTGGATACCTTACAGCCACTAAGCAGCATCTCTTTTGCTCAACTTGTGTTTATCCTGGACTGTTTCCTCCTTACTTCCTATCCATTTGCCTCACTGGGACTGAGATCCTACTCTGAGCACCGGCCTGCTTGCTTGGGCCATGACACCAGCCCTTTCTCTAGAGGATTTGGCATTGTTTCCTATATCCCTTACACGTGACTGAACCATATCTGAAATTGATGTGGCTAACCACCCAACTTCAAAAAGTACCTCTCATGGGATCTCCATTCCTACCTCCAGATCAGGCTCCTCAGAGATAGTACCTCCCATTTCCAAGAGATCTACCTTGGAGTGAGGTTAGTGTCCTGAGCTTTGGTCCTCTCTCCTACAGAGTCTTTCCTATTTCAGCACTCGTCAGATGCCAAAACCTAGTACTTCTTATGCTGGAGTTTATAGTGAGAATACTTTTGTATGCCAGGTAGATAAATTAAAAATGTTCAGCCTCTTTGTGGTGTTCATCTGTGCATTATCTAAGAAATCTTATTCATTCCCACAGTTCTATCATTATGTCTCAGACCTCAACTCTCAGAAGCCTCATTTGCAGGTTTTAACAGATACTTCAAATTCAATATGTCTAACCTCATTCATGATCTCTCTTCTCACTTCTTGCTTATAAAGCTGTCCTTCTTCTCTCTCCCCCTCTGGTTCCTTTGCCAGTATACCCCCATCCTATCACCTCAGAGAGAAATTATAGCTTTGATGATTTCTTCTCTGTCCCCAAATACATTTGGTTGGTCACTAAATCCAAACATCTCTTAAATTTGGTCCTTCTTTATTTACACTGCCACGCCCTTAAATTAGGTTTCTATTCCTTCCACTAGGTATTAAATATGAAATGCTTACTAGGTGTC